CCCCAAAACCCCAAAACCCCAAAACCCCTTGCTTCAAAATAATATAAATAAGAATAATAGTAAATGTGGCTTAAATCTTATTAAATTACATTCATAAATAAATATTTACGGCAAGTTCTTATCTTTCATTTACAATAAGGGGTTGTATTTAAAAGTTTACTGTGCAGTTACTGAATGCTTTAACTAGGATATCAGCATTCCTAAGTGGTAATATTAAGTAGAATATCATCGTCTCTCTGATAAGTGAATTTATCAAAATGTACTTTCGCCTTTTGAGAGCTAGTCAACTTGTACTCATTGGGTGAGTCAATTGGCATCTCATTCAAAAATGAAATATCAATGTTACTCACGTCAGTCTCGTCTTCAACGTTAGGTGAAAACGGAGGTTCAATTTATTTATTTCTTACTTATTCCCAATCAAGCCCAGAGAAGAAAGGATGATTTCTCAATTCCTCTGAGTCTTAGTCTCCACCTCCTAGCCTTCTGTTTGGATTGTGATGTAGGAGACGTTTTATTAGATTTTGGAACTCTTCTGACGCTCTCCCGATTCTCGAGAAATCAATCTTTTTAGTAGCTATTGTGTGCAAAAGCTGGATCTTATTGGTGTTCTAGAAGGGAGGGCGGCCACAATACATCTCGTAAAGCAGGGCTCCAAGGCTCCACCAATCTACGGCCTTTCCATGACCCTCACCTCTTATAATTTCTGGAGCTAAATACTCAGGAGTACCACATACAGTGAACGTCATATCTTCATTTTGCTTGAAGATACCCTATTTCGATAGTCCGAAGTCAGTAATTCTAATGTGACCCTTGTTATCGAGTAAAATATTTTCTGGCTTAAGGTCTCTGTAAATTATACCACTTTAATGAAGTGATTCGATTGCTAGGATAATCTCAGCAGCGTAAAACTTAATGCGTCTTTCTGAGAATCTTTATTCCCTCCTTAAGTGATAGAAGAGCTCCCCTCCATTCATAAAGTCCATAACCATGTAGAGTTTGTACTGAGTTTAAAAAGCGTAGTGCATTTGAACTAGAAATGGATTGTGCTTAGCTTTCTAGAGAATTTCTCTTTCCGAACGAGTGTGATCGATTTAATTACGAAGTAAAATGTTTTCCTTTTTGAGCACCTTCATCGCATAAAGCTTCCTCGTCCCCTTCTTCTGTACCAAGAACACTTTCCCAAATGATCCACGGCCGATGACTTTCAAGATTCTGAATGAGTTCTTAGTTATTTCGCCTGAAGCTGTGGAGGACTTGAGAGAGGAGGAGGTAGATTTAGAAGATGAATATGAATTTTTAAATTAATTATTTTAGACACCTTTGCCGAGACAAAGAGCTTATTTGTTTCCCATTAACAAAGATTCAAATAGAAGAAATTAATATTTAATAATAACAATCTCTTATTCAAACTGCTTTATATACTAGAGTTCACCTCGATTTAAGAGTACTTAATCATATTCTCAAATTCTGGCAAATTCTTTACTCATGGGGTTTTGGGGTTTTGGGGTTTTGGGG